AAAGACGATATTGAGGGCCTGGGTGGGACATTCGAAGACAACGAGATGACTTGAAAGGCTTCTGAAGACAACTCGAAGATGGGTCAAACTTGTTCGCTATTGGGGAATATTGAGACAAGAGGGCCACCCTCGTGGAGCGCCCTTCCGCACGATACTCGTAATTAACGATCGTCATTTGCTGTTTTGCCTTTCCAGTATCTGCCTTGGTATCGCTCCTTTGTGTTCTTCTATTCAGCCTACTTGCGGAGAAGGACGTCAAGGAATAACTCCACTGAACGCAGCCAAAGCAAAACAATGATGAATACGATTTACATGGACAGTGATTGTCGGTGGCGATGGCCATTCATGGCATAAAAATCACCCCCATGTAGGGCTGTGTCTCCATCGAAATAAAATAAAGAGGGGAGGAGCCACAACAGACAGAGGCTGAGCCCGCTCGTGATGGGCGAGGATGGGGTTGGCTACGACGCAGTTGACTCCGTAAACAATCTCGGGTCTCCATGGTAAACACATCTGCAAACAAAAACAATTGTGACGCCCCGCGCTCACAACGATGATCTTGTTTCGACGGCCCTGGTCGCATTTGCTACTTCCCTTTTCTATTTTCGATTGTATCCATTTTATCTCGTCCCCTGCCGTTTCTCCGCACGCGGGCACTTGCAACACCATCGACACCGCTGACGAGATCATATCTATGACAGGGAGGTTTTGGATGTGACGGTGAAGTGCGTCAAGGACTGCAATTGCAGGTAAACGAGGTTGCCCTCCCGATTGATGATTGTCTTATGCACCATAAGCGTTGTGCGGAAGCAATCGTGAATTCTTTGGACGAAGAATTGCCATTGTTCCTTACAAGGACCCCCGCGAGCCCCCGTTTCTCCTCTCTCATCCCTTTGCCACTTCAGGAACGAGAGTTGGTGTCGACCACCCACACCGAAATGCACGCCCCTGGGTCAGCCAAGGCCGTAAAGCAAGGGGTGAAGCTTGAGGGTGTGTGGAGTGGAGACTACTTTATGAGATACCGCTGCCATTTCATTGGCAGGGTCTTCAGAGGGTGTGCTGTCCCTGTGTCTGACAGCTGGTTGTTACGACAAATTACTTCCAAGCACTTGCTAATGCTGGACTACAGGACAAGACGCAATGCTCAGTAAGAACTGTTGCGCACTCGTACAAAGGTCCCGTAACATACAATTGCGTTGTCTCGCTTCGTCGCGTCTCGTATCTGGGGGACCACAAAATTCAAGGGCACGGCCACTGCCGGACACAGCCGCACAAGAAAGACGGGATGAAAAATGCCGTGGGAGACAGAGGCCCCTGAATCGAATGGAAGGGAACGACACTCAGAAGCCCAAAGAGGAAGCTCGCGAAACACTGGGCACAAGGACAACAACACCACCAGCTCATCAACGTCATCCTGAAAGTAAACAAAGAGAATGTATTTTTTTTTTTTTTTTTTTTTTTTTTTTTTGGATAATCCAATCCGGCACAAGTGGATTCGTTGCTTATTCTTTTTCTACTGACTGGAGCACGGTGAGGACCGTGTAGCGCGTTGTCTTTGCCTCCGGCTGACATTGCCTCATAGGGTTGACGAGTCGTTTTGAGGTTTTTTACCTAGCGAAAATAAATAGTCAGTGTCTTGAACTCACACCCTCTTCGTGCGGCTGTTTCCGTTGATCAAAGTGCGCTCACAGACGCTCGGCAGCGGAGGGGCCGCCAAATGAACTTGAGATGAATATATTTTGGTATCAGGGGAACGGAAGAACATGGGGAAAGATCCAAGATTGAGATTTACCATGCTCCAGCTTGTTTTTGTTTACATTCGGCTTACGAGGTCCCAAGCTATGAATAGAAACTGGGCGTGTACCAGGCAGAAAAACACGGCAAGCGGCGGGGACTTGTCACAAATAGACGACAGCCGACAAGGTGAAGGACGAGCAAGGGCTGGAAAAAGCTAGAGAGGGCTGTCTGTCTGGATGTGGCTGTTGATTCTGTTGTTTCTTGTTTCCTATTTCGTCTTCTCCTATTACCATTTCTTCCTCCGTGTTCAGACTCTGCCCCAAGAAGCCGGGATTTACTAAGGCTGGTAGAGCCATGAGAACTGTGCGCTGAAGGAGGATGCCACTTCAGCGGTCCTCATCGCCGACTTATTTTTCTCGTCATAGGTCGAGGCTACAGCTGGTGTGCTCCTCGGCGTCTCCTTGCCTTTTCATGCGGGTTCGCCGCTTTGAGACAGTTGGGCTCACCATGCCAATACCGAGTAGACAACCTGCTCGATTTGTTCCGTAATTGCTCGGCTGTTCCCATTTCTCGCCTTGTTGACGTCCCGGCTGCCGGCCCACAACCGCTTTGTCTGCACAACTTGAGAAGAGACGGACTTGGACCTGTCGGCATCCGCTTGGTAGCATCTCGGTTTTTTTTTTTTTTCTTTTTTTTTTTTTCTCTCTCGACAACGGCGTTCACTGTCAATTCGAATTGACACTCTGCCGCAACGCTGCAACGCTACTTGCAGTTGCCCCGAAGGACAAACTACTGCGCGACTGCGTTAGTGCTGTTGACTGCCCAGTGACATACCTTCCCACCATCTCAACACCCCCCATCTGGGGCTCCTCAGTGGCTGAACCTTTCATTAAAGAGTCCACTTCAGGACACGAGCAGGGATGTTTCAAGGTGCGAGGGGGGTGTGAGTGGGCTCTCCATCGATAAAGTTGGGGGGAGGGGAAGGAAACATCCTGGGACCGGAATGTACCAAAAGGGACCTGACAGGGAAGGAACTTGCTGTGTTCCTGATGTTCGTTCCTGTGTTTCTTTCTCAGCCCTCAGCTGGCGAGTTGGACCTGCCTGTTTCGAACAACACTTTCGGCAAAATAAAGAGACAGAGCAGCAGGGCAGGAGTGAGAGGGAGCCAGTCCCTAGATTCTTTCTTGTTACTTTCTTTGTTCTGCTGTCGTTCTTTCCCTATCTGATCTCTCATAATTGCCACCAGGCAGTCGAGTCTCTTGGTGAACAATACAGCCATAACCGATATAAAAGCGATCACAATGGAAGAAGGATGCTGAGTTTGGTACAACTCGTTTTCGACGTGGTCGTGCTCTGTCCTGCGGGCGCCCATACTGCAACCACAACCTACCCTTGAGATCGTGGTGTAGACTCCGCTACGCGTGCGCCCGTCTTGCCAGTCGCTCTTGCCTCGCCCGCCTCTTTCCTTCGCGTGCATTTTCCTCGCACCGCTGTTCGCGCTCCCACCGCTAACGGCCGAGCATCTTTACACTAACCGCCAACAAAAACCTGTTGCCAGCTGAACCAGGCGTCCAGGGCCCAGAAATAGACGACATGGTCGGAAACGGTCAAAATAGCGTCCAGTCCGTTGGGCGGAGACGCCGCAATGCTGCGTAGTAGTTTCACAGTGAGATAATGCGTGGAGACTCAGTCCCTCTGTCGTGCGCTGATCGTCCCCTTCGTTGGTCTGCCCTGTCTTGTCTGCCTATCACTGTTCTTGCCCCTATGGTTTTAGCAGTGCAGCCCTGCCAGCCTTTTCAAGCCTGTTCCTGCTTCGTTGTTTCTGCTCGTTTCCTATGTCTCTTGTCCGTCTCCCAGTCGCTCTTGCCTCCGGCCCTCCTCCACCCCCAATCTCCACCCACCCAGGTGCCTGTTTTTGGCCCTGCCCCGAGCGCTCCTTCCCGCCCACACTTTTGTTCTTTGCTGTTCTCCACTGTGTCTGTTTGTGTTTGCATGCTTTAGTGCCCTGCCCACGACACTGACTGGTACACCCACCTCCCACTCGCTGCACTGGCCCCTGCCCTCTGGCCTTGCTTTGCCTGGTCGCTCTTTCCTCACTTCCCTTTCATTTCCAATCCGTGCCCTTTGTTTTCCCTCCCTCCTCGAATCTCCAAATCCTTTCGCCTTCGTTAACCAACCAACCCTCGCCCTCACTCTCCTTTCCTTCTTCCTTCTCTCTTTCCTTTTACCTCTCCGCCAGGCAAACAGCGAAGCAGCGCTTGTCGCCTACACGGTTGTGTTTGCTTCTTCTTCTTCTTCTTCTTTTCAAGTGCTTTTTCTGCCCCCATTTTCGCATTCGGCTGGGATCTTTTTTTCTGGTCTCTCGCAACCAATAATCTCGCATTTCGATCGCAAAACGCCCTGGGTCAACTCCAGCACCTTGAGACTGTCCAACGCCTCTCTCCGCGTCTGCTGGTTTTGCCCGTCCGCTCCTTACCGTCGACCCTCCTTTTGCTGCTCGATTGACTCTCTTGTTTTCGTTTTCCGTCGACGTTTTTCGAATCGTGTTTTTGCAACTGCACAATCAGATCAGCGCAGCGCCTGCAACCCCTAATTCCGATTTCACTGCATTCATTTCGTTGCGACACGGCTCTCTCCCAGTCATTTTGGTTCAGTCGGATTGCGCTTGCTTACGAACGGCGTTTTGTTTTCATTTCCTTTTCTTGCCGTAACGAATTCTTTATGATATCGTGAAGGAGAGCTAAAGGCTGTTCAGGTACGAACATACCAACGGAAAAAAAGAGACTACGACGGGTTGGCCGTTGCCGCCCTGTCCCTGATGTTCCCCATGTCTCTTGTCATCCCTTTCTTTCAACAGTCCCCATTGTCACAACCCTTCTTTCAACCGCCGACGGCTTGTCTAGTCGTGCCTGAATTTACGCCCCAATTGCATCGTCTAGTTTTTGCCTTGTCGTCCTAGCGCAAACTGGCTTACTGATATTCACGCCTCTTTGACAGACTCCGCGCCTGATTCGACTACCTTTGAGCTGCCCAGTATTACGGCTTTTGCGACCCAGGATTGCCAATTTATTTTTGGAATTCAGCTCTACGAGACATTCATCTTGGTTTTGTTTCTGCAAGTCGACGCTGCCACAAACGCACCCGGAACGCTCGTTTCTTGCTACTTCCTGCGTCCTTATCGCCTGGCCCCAATGTCCCGGCTTTCTAACTAGGTTGCTCATTGCTTTCTCTCTGGAGCCGCAGAGCGGCGTAGGCACAGAAACATGGCAACGGCTCTGAGCATGGACGTTCCACCAGTCCCTGCACCTCCGCAAGCACCCATGAACATAGACGCGCACGTCCTCACAATGGCGACCGCCAGCGAGCCCTTCGCGAAGCCGTCTTCACCGCGCCCCATTCCGTCTCCGGTGTCGATCCCCCCACGTTTCGACGACGACAGCACCATCGATTGCACATTCCATAGTACTTCAGACTCCAACACACCAGCATCACCTCGTTTCCAGCACATCCCACCGCCACCGCCGATCCCCGACTTCGTCTTTCCTGCGAGACCCTCGACTTCCGCTCCCTCTTCTTACTCACGCGCGACCGGCAGACGACCAAAGTCCGTAGCCGACCTGAACGACCGTGGCACATTGTCTCCTGGGCCGGCCAGCGACACGCCCATTCGTACATCGCGCTCGCCCGCGCTGCCCGACTTCTCCTTTAATCCTGGCGCTAGTCTTCCTCCCACGGCCGGCCACGCCTTCCTCAGTCCTCCTCTGTCTCCCCATTCACCGAGGACCATTCCTTCGCGGCCTGGCGGCGGTGGACACAGACGAGGTGGTAGTGAGTTTGTCGGCGGTAGTGTGCGCCATGGCGAGGCCTTTACATTTATGAGCACCAGCCCCACAAAGTCGGAGAGTGGCCTTGCGTCGCCTCTCCTGTCTCCTCTGAACAGTCCTTCTGGACCGTCTGGCGCGCCTGGTTCCAAACCGGCTGGGCCGCCGCATGGTCGTCGTGGACACGCCCACCGGCGGTCAGCTGCGATTTCTAGTCATGATATCTCCGACATTTTGCAACCAACTAGCCCGAAACCGCCTTCTCGTGGAAATAGCGCGCCAAATAGTCCCTCTGCATTCGACTATAGGGAGAACAAATCGTATACGTTCCCAGAGAGAAATACTACCGAGAGTGAAAAGGCGCTGTCGATTACGGACGGCAAAGCACCCGGGGGGACGACGAAGCCCGACGAAGTATCGGAACCGGAAGCCTCAACACCAGTACTGGATCCGACAGGCGACCAGGAGCGTTTCTCTTCTTCGCCCAAAGCGGCTACTGCACAGCCACGAGCTCGAGTTGGATTTTCGGACACACTTGAATTCATCCCGCGTCCTTTGTCTCTTGTTTCCAGCGACACCTCAAGCACAATGACTGCCCGCCCTCCGACAGGAAGCGGCAATCATTCCGTGTCTGGCAGCATCTCGTCCATCGTCTCTCTGAATGCATCGATCGCAGCTGGCATTGAGCGTGACAGTATTTCGCCACTTGCTCGCAGTCCGTCACGGAGCACAGTCACTGAGTCGAGGCCTAGCACTGCTGGCGCCGTTCTTGACCGGACGCAAAGCATTATTGGTCCCGAGGATAATGACGGCGTGTCACCGCGGAGACGTAACTCGATTCCGCTTTTGGCTGCTATGCCCGCCGAAGCTGCTGGGCCAGAAGCTGCCATGCAAGCTCTTCCCAGCCCCAGCAAGACTCCTAAGCGGTGGTCCTTCTTCAGCCTTGACCCCTTTATCGGTGGCAGCAGCAACAACAGCATCAGCTCGCCCAAGGGTTCTTCCACACACAGCCCCGTCTTCACTGACGAGGCCTCACCAACGTTGGTCGAGATCGCCAGTACCGCAGCACCGAAGGCTTCAACACAACGTCTGGATCGCTGTGCTGCGTCTACCAACAACGCATCCGTTGATGACGCAATGTCGCTCTCCAAGACCGTGACGCGGAAACCGAGCAACAACAAAAAGAAGAAGAAGGTTAAGTCATGGGGTATCCTGGGACGGAAGTCCAAGCCTCGTCGTAAGAGTCGCCGTGCTCCGACACCGCCTCCGATTCGGTCTCAAGCCGAAAGCGATGGCGAGGAGTCGATTGAGCTGCCTGCTGAGGCAATTGGCTTGGCGATCAGCGAGCCTTCCACGACAGACGGTTTCTCCGTGCCGCCCGTTGTTCTTGTGACTCCCTCGGGCTCGCCTTCTGAGCCGCGTGAGGAATTTTCGTCGTGGCAGCCACTTCCGTCCCCGTCTCTTTCTGTTCCCGACGATGACGCATCCCTCCCAATGATCGACCTCGATGCTGCCTTGGGCCCGTTCAATACTCCTCTTCCCCGCAACGCTGAATGGGAAGCTGCGCAGCGGGCTGGTGGCCTGTCGAAGAGACAGTTGCACAGTGCTGCTGGTATGACCCGCTTCACTGGTCCCGGCATGCACTATTCCCATCGTCGTGCTGAGAGTGCGCCAGAAATGCCGCCTTTCAACCGAGCGGGCATCCCCCGTTTCAGCAGCTCGACCGCTATGGCAGATGTGTTTGAAGAGGAGGAGGAGGAGGAGAACACGGCCGCTGACACGACTGAGGAGACGAATTCGATCGCAGTTACTACCCAGGAACAAGAAGGTGGCTCGAAGTCGACTTCCGTTCATTCGACGTCCTCTCTGTCCAGCACGCCACCTCGCCAACCATCCGAGTTCCCATCGGACTTCCCTGACCACCACTCCAACAGCATCGACATCCGCGTCACGTCGTCCGACGGTGCCGAGGGCTCCTCCTACGACCGCGGCCTCGACTTCTCATCTGCCGCCAGTGATGATGCCACATCGTCTATTGCTCTGAGTCGCCGTGGCAGTGGACTCAGCGGACTGAGCGACGACGACAAGACTCAGCCAAGCATGGGCCTCAAGTCTGAGTACTCCGCCAGTTCACTCCACGACGATGTGATTGTTGAAGAGGATACGGGCAGCTTCACGTTTGGTGACGATGGCTGCGACTTCGTTATGGAGTCTTCGTCCGACTCGACCATTCACTCACCTGGCCGGCTCATGAAGGGCAAGGATCTGGCGCCCGTTGAAATGAGCCCGCTCCACCTGCCGGCGACCGGCTCCCTTGCGCCCGTCAGTCCGTACTCGATGGCCCCGTCGTCTGCCTTCCCTTCGCCTCGCTCGCCCATGTCGTACGATGCCAACCGGATCTCGACTGCGCCCTCGTCCGTGACAGAGGACAACTTCCAGTCTCTCCTTTTGGGCGAGCCGGGCCCGGAGGTCCGTATTTCGAGCGACATTCCGTCGTTGACCAGCAGTAATTCGACTATGACGCGCGAAAGCGCCGCTCACCAGAACGGACCGCAATACCCGCCTCTGGGTGGCCAACCTCGCGCGTACCTGGCATCTCGTGGCAACGACCGGCCCGCATCGTTCACGTCGACAGCCTTTGGACGTAGACGCTCTAGTTTGGCTAGTCTGCACAGGTTGATCAGCACGTCGCACGGCGAGCGGAGTAAGCTGTCGATGGAGGTACAGCTGGACAGCGCGAGCACGACCAGTGGCACGGACCCCGAGAAGAAGGGCAAGTACAGCAAGGCGAAGCGTATCAGCCGGATGGTGCAGTTCTGGCGTGCGAAAGATGAGGCTACTTCGTGAGACGAGTCGACACGTCACTGTGCGCATATTACACAACCATGCAATCGTTTTACACGATCACCGATCACCACTTGTGCACCACACAGCACACGCAATTATTTCCTTCACTCTCTCATACACTACACTCTCTCATTTTCTCATCACCTCACTGTCGTTCTTTGAAGCTCTCATACAGCGTTTCTTTTCTCTTTTTTTTCTTGTCTTTTTTTGTTTTATGACGAGCATGAAGCACTATTTTTTGTTTGTGCATGACGAACGGCGAGCGGAGCGCTTTCCAGTTGGCAGCACCCGAAGGGGGAGAATGAGGTGTGCATGTGAAGAGGAGGAACGGAATATTCACACGGAGCAACATTTGGAGATGGTTGGCTCTTATCTTTGTCCATATCTAAGCCGTGATGTCTGATTTTCCCATTGACCTATTTCGGGTCTTGTTTTCTTAACAATTTTTGTGTTCTTTTCCCAAACGTTCAGGCGCAGCATCTGGACTTACAAACAGAACAGCGAGAGGCACATTTACTATTCGGCGGCCATCTCTTTTGCCTATTTACATTTTCATACTTCTTCATATTTTCTTTTCTCTTTTCTTTACAAAGAGTCACTAACGAACGACATTTTATGTACCTTTAACTCTTCCAACTCTGTGTTCCATAACTATTGTGTCTTTGTGTTGTGGTGAGGCCATCAAGGACTATGTGCTCGGAGAGTTTCGAATAGATGTAGATACAGAACATCACTTCCAACGGAAATTATCTTTCAACGCCCTTCTGAGCCTTATGTTGCATTGCTTGTACAGCTAAGAAACCCTGTGGATCTACGGCACAACCGTTAGCGCGGTTTCTCAGCCGCTGGTCGCTAATTGGCAATTGCCTAGGTAATTCAAGCTTGAAGCAAATCCGAGCTGCGGAGAGCTGCCCCCACAGCGATTTACTGAGTTTACTATGGCTCTACGGAGATGGGTGCCTTTCACGTGGATGTTTTAGAGGCAAATTACGACGTTCAGCGCCGGCTCTCCTACCGCAATAAAACAACAACATCCAGCAACGACGGCTTCATTTTGCTCGTCATCGACTTTGAGCACCAGCGCATTCTTCAATTGCAGTTGCTGTTTATTTACGAGATCCCTGTCCCGTTAGGAGCCGACCTCTTCCATTTCCCCTGCATACGAGCTCTGCAACAGCTGCCGTGCACTTTTGCGAATTGCAACAACTCCAGCTTTATCTTACTGTCGTTCCCGCGTCAGACACGCGCACAAACACGCACACAATGGCCGCACGAACAGCGACCCGTCGTTTGCTCCGCGAGTTTGAGAGCTGGCAGGCCGACCAGGAAGAGTTTCTCGCCGCCCGCCAGGCCGCCACCGACGCCATTGCTGCCGCCGACGCGGCGGGCACCGAGGCGGACATTGCGGCCGCCAAAGAAGCCGGCCTCGCCCTCGAAGAAAACAACCCGGACCGCGGCATTGAGCGCCTCGGCCCGGCCGCCGACGGCGATGACCTGTTTGCGTGGGAGGCCGTTATCAACGGCCGCGGCGGCGTCGGCGGCGGCTACGACAATGGCCGCTGGCTCTTGACGATCCAGCTGCCGGCGGGCTACCCAAACCAGCCGCCCGTGGTGACGTTTGTGACGCCCATTCAGCACGCCAATGTGCACCCGACGACGGGCGCTGTCTGCTTGGATCTGCTGCAGTCGGCGTGGACGCCGGCGCTCACCGTAGTGTCGTGCATCCGCGCGGTGCGGATGCTGCTGAGCACGCCGGGGACGGACAGCCCGCTGAACATTGACCTGGCGGCGCTGCTGCGGGCAGGGGACACGATGGCGGCGGCGCGGCTGGTGGCACTGTGGTGCGAAGAGCACCGGTACGAGGGGATATAAGGAGAAGGGGGGATGTCGTTAGAAGGGGGAACGATCATTTGCGATTATAATACCATGGCATCGGCATCGGCATTGCTATTTTCTTTTCTTTTATCTGTGCATCTATTTACATATATTGGTTTCTATTTCGTCTGATGCTATTGCTTTGTTTTTCTATACTGCCTCGAGCACTGTTTCGCGATCATGGGGGTAAATATCTTTGGTTTCGGAGAGGACCGTCTCTCTGTTGCGATGAAAACGGGAAGCGGTGCCATTGTTGGGCGCGCCGGCGTCTCGCGCCGTCATCATTATCAGAAGGATGAGAGGGAGAACGTTCTTATCGACGTAGCAGCGGGCGAACAAGCAGCATGGAATTTGCATGACAAGTTCAACCAGTCGAGACTGCATGGTTGGCCAACAACATCTGGCAGAACGTGTCAAAGAGACAAAGCGGAAGCAAAACATCTTCGCTGATCGTGAAGATACTGAGGTGTCTGGCGGAGGCAGCAAGGACTTGTTGGCTGATAAATATCCTGTTCACACGTAGAGCAAGCTCTTGTCGACACTCGAAAGCCATATATCCATGATGCTTTCGAGTCAAATTGATCCACGTCTGCATAGATTTAAGTACATAGCCGAACAGGTAGTCAAATGCAGCATAAGAAAGCATGATGTTAACACAAGGATACGAAAGTGACCCTTCGTAATATACAAAGACGCCTTTCCCATACCAACCCTAGGCGGAACCAAAAAGAATAAAGGATAATAAAGAAGAATTGAGAACGAAGAAACAAACAAATGAATTGCCAACAAATGAAGATACCAAACGAGAAAAGAAGACGAAGACGCAAAAAAGAAGCCACCTATGACCGATTTCTATAATGGTTTGAATCCACATCAACACCCTGGGATTTTTTGTTGTTTGTCGTATTATATTTTTATAGTTTTGGTTGCTTTTTTGGGCCTGCTTTGCTCGTCTAACCAAACAGAGAAAAAGAAGAACCGCGCACCCGCAAATTGTCGATGGTCGCAACTGAAGAGGAAGAAAAGAGACGTCGATTATAGATCCTCACGAAAGTGTGTGTATAGAGAGTATAAAGGTGGTTTTGAATCGTTACGGTCGTAGTCGTGGTGGCATATTTTGGGATTGTCCACATCCGAGGCGACAATGCCTGCTCCAATCTATTCCTATTCGTTGTAGTGGTACACCTGCAGCTTGTTAGCACACGGACAGGGCAAAAGGCAAAAGGCAAAAGGCAAAATGGGAGCCAACAGAACTCACCTTGTAGTTGGGCAGACCGATCGAGACCCAGCCGAGCCGCTTGGCCATGCGCGCGAAGCCCTCCGTCTCAATCAGGTGGTAGAATGGGAACGCCGGGAACATGGCGCCGTCTCGGTGCACCTCGGCCTTGACCAGCAGCGCCGTGCCGCCCACACCGTCCAGTGGCACCTCCTGGTGCGGGCTCTCGCCGGGCGTTGTCATGTGCGTCATCAGCGACCGGTACGTGGCCATCTCGGCATAGCCCTCGAGCAGAATGTCGTCGGGACCCATCCTTGCCGCCAGCTCCTGGGCCGTCGGGCTGTCCTGCCAGTTGTTGTAGTCGTAGGGCCGCTCGTCCATCTTGTTCGTCTCCGGGTTGAGGAAGCGCTGGAAGCAGTTGGGCGCGATGATGGGCGCGTCGTGCGAGGCCAGGTCCTGGATGAGACTGGGCGGCGTCTCGACGACGTCCGAGTCGAGCCACAGCACCCACGACGTGGAGGGTCCCAGCGTCGTGAACAGCAGCGAGTTGCGCGCCTTGGCCATGGCGGCGCGGCGCGCCTTTTGGTTCTCAATCTTGTGGCGCTCGCTCTCGTCCTGCGACACCAGGGGCGGGTCAATGTCCTGACGCAGGATAATGATACTCTTGAAGCGCTCCTTCTCGTCGCCAAACTTTTGCGTCTTGGTGATCTGCGCCTGCAGCGCGGCGGTCGCCGCGTTGCCCTCCTTGGTCTTGGGCAGGATGAAGGCGAGCGTCATGAGCTCGTGCGGGTACGACAGCTTCAGGAGGTTGTCCCAGTACTGCTGGTAGAAGCGCGCCATGGGCGAGAGCACCAGGATGTGCTCGTTGTTCTCAATGGGGTTCGACGTGGTGGTGATGTTGTTCATGTTGTAGCGCGTCACGGGCGGCGGTTTTGGCTTGCCCTTGCTGTTCGACTTGCGGAAAGGCGACGTGGGCGGCGACAGCGGGTGCGAGGCCGCGTTGGCATTGCGCGCGGCCGATATCGTGTGCGAGCCGCCCGAGGCAATCAGAAAGTAGAGGATGAAGATGCACAGCACGGCGCCGATGGCAATGGTAACGGGGTTGGCCCGCTTTAGACGGACAGGTCCCATGGGTCGCGCCATGGTCGGTTGTGTCGTTAGAGAGGGAGGGAGAGCTGTCGTCAAGGAGCGAGACCTGGCCTGCTCACGTCGCCAGGATCGAGGTCGTCCTATCGTGTTGTCGTCTTCGATCTTGTCGTCGATGCCGACGTCGTCCCAAAGCGCTGCTGCGTCTCGTTCGCGTCCTCCCTTGCTAGCGCAGAGAGACAAAAGAGAAAATAGGTTGTAAAATTACAAAGAACAAGCTAAGAAGAAGAGGACGAAGGAAGGAATAGAATCGAAAAAAAGGCCAAGGGGCCCCAAAAAGACACGGGTAAGGTAAAGGAAAAGCGCGCAACCGTAAAACGAGAGCTTGCCAAGACTGCAAAATTGCTAGATGACAGGCTGGGAAACGGACAGCGAAGCCGTTTCTTTGTGGGTTGTTCGTCTTTGGAGATCCAAACAGGAGGATCCGAGCCGCAACACCGGAGGACGAGATCGGGCAAGGCGATAGGCTGGCGAGAGGTCTCAGAGTCGAGAAAAGAGAAAAGAGAACAACAAAGCCAGCAACGAGGCTTGGGATTGACTTCTCTCGAAACAGGGGAGGAGGGATAAGGAAAGGGAGAGGAAGAGGGCAATACCGAATATGCAGCAGAGATTAGGAGTCGACTTCACAAATTTGCACCAGAAATGGCAGGGACGCCAATTTGGTGGAGGACACCAGACGGCAGGAGCCACCAGGGCTACAGCAGCCACAACTCGTCCAATGGAGCGTGTCCCCTGGGCGGTTGCTTCAGCTGTTCACATCCAGTGGGTCCCGCCAGTAGCAGGAAGGGTCCATTTGGCGATCCATAAGGATTTAAGCCCAGGGCAGGGCAGCTGGCAATTGGGAATAGGGCCCTTCTGTCATTTCCAATTTCAGCGGGTCATTTACTGGCGATGAGGTCTGTTTCTGGGACGGCTTCCACTGGCTGGCGCTAATTGCATGGCTGCGAAATCGAAAAAAAGGAGGTAAAAAAGGGGCAGGCGCGCCCACCGACACGGTGACCATTTGCAGTGTAAAATTGGAATGTGTTCGTATCGCGCAATTACGAGATTTCCGAGTGTCTGCACCGTTTTCGTATATGTAGACAACAACGAGAGTGAGTTGGCACACACTGCAGCAGCTGCACCTGCTTGTCTTCTCACGGGCTATCACAGATAACAATGCCCTCTTCACAAGCGGTGCCACGCCAGACGCCTGCTTTGAGATCACTGTAACACGTTATCAACGGATGCATTCGCAATTTGCGCTATCTGGCACGTCTACACTGCTCCATGGCCTGTAGAAAATAAGATAGCAGATGAGACCTGGGGATCTTAGGGGCTGATTGACGAGAAACCACACAATGTCTGTAACTTAGTACCTACAAATGCTGCGGCTGCCTCTCGTGGTAAGGCCATGAGCCCTCGTCTTCTATCATCAAAGGCAGACCCTGAACAAACTCCAAAATAACGAGTCCTCTCGCAAGTCACGACGCAAAATTGTGTATATATTCTTACTGGCGGTGCATGGATCTCAGTACATGGGTTTCATAAATCTCAGGAGATTCATAGAACTGTTTTACTTGGTGTGTAGGTTCATAACCACAAATCTTCCAGGATACTGCCCTCACAAGGCTCTGTGTATAACTCTTTACAGTTTCTGCGCAAATGTCGTAAGAAAAGGCTCCGGTTACACATTAGTTACGTTTATCCTGTCGTATTAGCGTTACGAAATTGATGCCTCATTGTTAAGGCAACAACACGATTGGCACAGACCCACTACGTTCCTGCGTCAAGTTCCTGAGCGGCTGCTGCACGCCAGTGCGGTTCAGGCCACAAGGCAGCGAGGCACTGACTAAACCGGCTGTGTTAGGGGCGGCCTTTGCTAGCTGCAGGCCTGGCCGCGCTAAGGTACCGCCTGCAGCACAGCCAACGCAACTCCAGGCAAAGCTAGCACGCGTCGCAAAGCTGCCTTGGAGCTTGAAGTCGACGTTTGGCGCTGGTGCCTCTTCTCTTACCTTTCGCAGAACGAACACACATTCACCTAATCCACCAATCCACATCACATCGTCACCACCGACAACCCAGTTTTGCTCTAGGCTTTTCGATCTGCATGCTGTCTATTGTCGCATTTCTCGGCCGTTTGTGATTTCCAATCGTTGACTCGTTTATTCATCGCGCTCACGTGTACGTCCCGAGCTGCCTGCATCATCAAAGACACGAGACGATCGAGACGATCGAGACGACCGAGACGACAGGCCTCAGCTATATTTGAGCTGCCCAGCCGACCGGAAACATTCTCTACACGCCCCTATCCCTCTCGCACCCTTCTTCGCGATACCATTTCACAATGGACACTCTCGTGGCGCGATACAGCCGCCCGGCCTTCCGGAATCCGGACGAGTTCGACGACGACAACGACGACTTCGACTACAACGGCTCCATGCCCGGTCTTTCGCACAGATTCGCCATCCCCCCGATAGCACAGGTGCGTCTGCCTTGGTTTTGTCTTTCCGGACGCTGACGTCTACTAACCATCATCAGCCCTCGCAATGGCTCCGTGCGGCCACCGACGACCGCTCCAACCCCAGCTGCCCCATCAAGATTGCCCACGGTACCACGACCCTCGCCTTCCGCTTCCAGGGCGGCATCATCGTCGCCACCGACTCCCGTGCCACCGCCGGCAGCTGGATCGCCTCGCAGACCGTCAAGAAGGTCATTGAGATCAACAACTGCCTGCTCGGCACCATGGCCGGCGGCGCGGCCGACTGCCAGTACTGGCTGGCCTGGCTCGGCCGCGAGTGCCGCCTGCACGAGCTGCGGCACAAGCGCCGCATCTCGGTCGCGGCGGCCTCCAAGATGCTGGCCAACCTGGTGTACAGCTACAAGGGCATGGGCCTGTCGATGGGCACCATGTGCGCGGGCGTGACGCCCGAGGAGGGCCCCGCGCTGTACTATGTGGACTCGGACGGCACGCGCCTCTCGGGCAACTTGTTCTGTGTGGGCTCTGGCCAGACCTTTGCGTACGGTGTGCTGGATGCCGAGT